ATTTACAAAGTGTAAAGGGGAAGAGTACTCCCCCTAAAGTTTCCTCCTGTGATACTCGACTCCCTTTCCTACGTGTACAGTTGAATATTCTGGAATTTTTATTGAAAACGTGTATGACCAATAAAAGTGGTAAGCGGTTTGATAAGCGGTTTGATTTTTGAAACTCTTTACAAAACTTTAAACGCATACAACTTTTGACAGAGTGCTCCGTAGAAAAAACCAAAAGCAATATCATGGTCAGCATGAAATTCTGCGTCGAATGGTTTATGACTCATGTGATTTGACCAGCACATTCAGTTGGCCTTCCCCTGTCAGTTATATTTTACCACTCATACCAACCAGGTGCCAAGAACCAAGAATTTCCCGTTACTTGGTAACAGCGCATCTATGAAGAACCTTAAAACCCAAATCTTTTAGGCATTTTCATGCTGATATTAAAAATCATAAACAAGCAGGGTTTTGTTCATTTTATGTGAGATTTTTCCCGTAAATGATGACTGGAGGCTGAAAGACATCTTTCTGATAAATTTGGTGCAAAAATATCTCAATCGGCTTTCAATGTCACTTCAAAAACTCCAAAACTAGGCCACGCGCCAGGCTAGGTGCGACTCTCAACTTTGAGAGCTTGTTTGAAAAATTTCGAACCGGTTAGATAGTGGGCACCGTTACAAGAGACCCACTCAACATTTGCCTGCAAAAATTTTATGGGTACCAGTTATCTTTTGACTGAGCTACACCCTGCAGTGTACTTATGAGCAATTATGAGCAGCCTATAGAAACAATAGTGACAGTTTGCGTTATCGTCGAACACCTTTATTTATTCGAGTGTTAGATAGGAGCTGGTCCGAAATAAAGAGAGTGACTATGCTTTCGAAATGTGGAGCAATTTTCTTCAAACGGTGTGCAACCGATCACTGGACCTCTAGAAAAAAATTTATAACATAAATAGGATTAGGCAAATGAATCTAGCTGTGCTTGATATTGCAACGAGGTTAGAGGTCATTCATTTCTCCATAATTCCCGCTGTATCACGTGATCAAAACATCAGAGGAATTGTAAATCCATCAACAAAAGCAAAAATTCGCATAAATTCCAAGTGTAAAAAGGGATTTTCGGCGCAACCAGTGTAAATAGGGTCACTATAAAAGGTAAAGCAAACAATGAACCGCACTTTTCAAACTTTTTCTAAAATGAAGCACATTTCGTATTTAAATCTTCTGATTCTTATCGTGAGCATCAATTTCGTGGCAGCAGATGGTAAGTTGATGAGCTGGAGAATTTTTGATTAGATTAGACGACGAGTCCCGTGTATAGATGGCTCTCCTCATCTCCAGCTACCTCAAAGACTGACCTAGATAGTTCTGAAGCGGTTAAATGGAGGGGATTAGACATAAAAGATGATACTTAGATCATGGCAATAAAATAAATTGACAACAGAACAATTTAGAGTGTAAAGCATTTTTTGAAAAAAATATTGAGGGTCCTCCATATGAATTTTTGGTGTTCGACGCTAAATATGGCTTGGGTGGAGAAATGGTTTTACTTTCAGACATGTTTTCCCTCTAGATCAATATCGGATATAAATTTGCGATGACTAGAGATGGGGGTCATCTATTTAATGGGAGGAATGCGGTATTTGTTCAGAAGAGCCGCTTCAACCCAATATCGGGCCGATCCCCCCCGTTCACTCTCCCACCATTTACTCTTCCACCATTCACCCTGCCGCCATTCACTCTTCAAACCATCCCTCCGATCTCCAAGTGTTGTGGTGGAGTGATTTGTGGACCTAATGAGATATGCAATTTATGTGGTGTCGTCTGCGAACAAATCTGTGGAAAACCGTTAAAGGTTTGTGCTAAGATTGGGCTGATAAGTATTGGGTTGTCCAGTTATGGATGCGCGTTTTTACTATTTTGCAAATTTCTCAAGATATCGAACAGATGTATATGAGTGTTATATATCATTCGAAAGCTGAACATCTCCTCTACATTTTGATATAAAAACATTTGGAATTTGTTCAGCTTTTGGGCAAATTGACTGCACAAAGGGAGAAGTCGTTTTCGAAAAAACCCATTTCAGTTTAGCTATTCCTCAAGTTTTATGCTGTAAAATAACCGCCCAGAAAAGAAAAGATGCTCTGAAATTGCTATATTTAAAAAAAGTTGTATTGATATATCTATTGGCCAAACATCAAATTGATCCAAAGGCACCCTTCCATTTTTTGGCCACCTCTTCTTCTGTGCAGTCAATTTGCCCAAAAGCTGAACAAATTCAAAAACTTTTTATATCAAAATGTAGAGGAGATCTTCAGCTTTCGAATAATACTCATATATATCTTTTTCTTGATTTCAGTATCTTGAGAAATTGACAAAATAGTAAAAACGCGTATTCATAACTGGACAACCCAATATAAAAGATTGAATTTTCTAAATTAGCCCAACTTTGCATTTCAACATTTGATTTTTTTACAAATTTTACTGCTTACAGACTACAAGTCAAGCTATCACTAGAAATCATGCTAACGCTAAAAGTCAATTTTTGAGTGAGTTGATCAAAGTTTGAGTGATTTCCATGGTGGAAAAGGTAAGGACGAGTGTTCACAACGTGATCCATGATCAATTTCAGGTCAACTTTTTTTCAGTTGTCGCACCATGAAATTAGCTTAAATTTTAAGCATAGTTGAATGGTCCTCTATTCAATTCTAAAAAGTTATGAACTTTATGATGAGACACAGATTTGAATGGGGTATGAATATGGGTTACGTTGTGAAAGCCATGTTTAAACCAAATAACCTGTTGGTTTTTTGTCTACAGTCGTTTTGTGGCTTTTAAACTCTGAAATTGCTCTCATTTTAATCATCCAATTTCAGCCATGTCCGAAGACTTGCCCGATCTTGCCCATATCACGAGGTGTTTGTCAATGCAAGCCTGGATACTGTCGTAGTGTGCATGGTTATTGTCTCCAAAAATGCCCTAAACCGATCGGAACAATTGGCTGATTGATCAGAAAATTCAAAAAGAAAATTTTCTTTTCTTCTCGAGAGACTCTTTCGTTTTGAGTTTTCATTTGTTATCGCTTGTATATTCTCAGTATTTTCCCAAACTCAATCTGTAAATACATGTAATTTTTAGTCTGTGTTATTGTTGGGAAATGATTCTTTCTTTATTCTTTGTGTCTCAACATTTCCTAAGATTTTTTGCGCGACATTGTATTTTGTCTTCTGGTGTCATTCATTTCACTTTCCTTCTCTTTGATTCTTGAATTAGAGATTCTCGGAAAATGTCTTCCTGATTCATGTCGTCAATAAACTATAGTCGTATCAATATTCAACCTTCTACTATCAACTGCATAACAGTAATCCCCAGTTTAATCAAAATAAATCAAAAATAAAATTCCTTTGATTACCGTAAATACTGTAATAGAACGCTATACCTCAAATGAACACTGCTGATCTAAAAACTGGACTTCTGGACGATGGATGTGTGATGGGAGTCAAATCGTAGCTAAGACTTCAGGGCAAACGGGATGTAGGAAACGTTTGTAATGTAGCAAATGGGATGCAGAAATTTTGAAGTTATGCTTCAAAAAGTTTCGAAAAGTTATGCGCAAAAAACGGAAAAGTGCCACTTTTTGGAAATAAGCCAAAGCCAAATTTCTGTCCATGAACCTTCAAGTCTCATTTGATCATTTAGAAAACAAATTATTTGTGCGTATCCAACCCACCGGGAACAAAAAGTCGTTTGGATAGACCGTCACGATGGTTTGTAGGCTGAGGACCGTCATGCACTCATTTATTTCTGAAAAATATATTCCGAAAAATTTGGTCTTATATCCCTTATTGCGGGGTTGTCCAGGATTACGGGGACTAAAGAACTTGAGGTTTTAAAGACCACCTTACATTAAAATGACACCAAAACAGCAAAAATTTATTTCCAAGCGTAGCTGACCTCGAACCTTCTTGATACTAGCCTTGGTAAAAACGATCGCTTTACCACCACGTCCGGAACAATCAGAATTGGTTCCTAACTCTTGAAAGCGCTTAATCTCGTTGTAAACAAGTTGTTTGTATATCATCAATCGCTTAGCGATATCCATTGCCAGAACGCCCCACTTGTGTAGGTCGATGATTGCATCTCGGTACACTGATTTCTTGACCATTCTAAAAAGAGACATTTTTTGAGAGAAATTACCCTAAAGTCTCGAGTATAAGTTCTGCGTTAATTTACATTTAAAGGGCTCTGATGAAAAATTTTCTTCTTTCTTTCATTTTTATTGTTTTTTTTTTTTTTATTTTACTAACGTTTTTTCATTTTAGATACGATGAGGAGAAAGTCGTACACCGCCGAAACGAAGCTCGAAGCGGTCAAATTTGCGAGGAAATTTGGAACGAACGCGGCTGCGATCGAATTTGAAGTCGCCGAACAGATGATTAACCGCTGGAAAGAAGCTGAGCCGGCACTGACGACTGACGAATTAAAAGAATTTCATTGTTTTCTTATCTTTTTGGGATTAAATGCCTACAGGACATTTGATAGAACTGGGGAAATATAATCTAACTGATAAATTTTTAAATGCACAATTGGATTAGGGCACAATAATCCACAGGTGAACACCAAAGCAGATTCTTAACTCACTGAGAATCAAACCTATGACCTTCTGATTAATGGATCTTGTAGATTTCAATTTAAACTTGAATTTAAATGTAATCAAACTTTAAAGATTTAAATTTAAATTTGAATTTGAATTTTTATTATTTCTAAAAAATCTAATCATATTTTTATCATTTCTAAAAAGATCATATTGTCCAAACACCGACACACTTCACACTTTCCCCCATAAACAAATAGACTGTGAACAACAATTCGTCGTCTCAAGTTTCACAAAAAATTACGAGAAATTTTTGCGTTTGCTTTTTTGCGTTTGCTGAGTTTGTTCTTTCTAGAGTTCGTTCCACGATTTACTTCTGCTTTTTCGAAAATTACGATTCGCTTCATAAAAACATGAATATATTGGGAAATTCTGGTAATTTTTAGCGAAATCGTTAATCATCGTGATATTAGGGTTCTCCATAAGTTCTTGCAATTCTTAAATTTGTGATTTCTTAAAAACCAGCTAACAGTTTCTACTAAATAATTTATAAGTAGATGCTAGCTAGTAGCCAAAATTTGATAATGTTTGCTTGGTTCAATCGAGAGAATGAGCTTCTAACGTTGATCTGTGTGTTGCACTCTTTGCGGGCTCGCTCAGCTCTAGAGAAACACTAATGAAAAACATGATTCAGAGCATTTTTAAGAGGATTGGTCGACCCAAAAAATCCGGATACCTTTGAGCTTCAATTAGCTCTTTTGATTTATCTTTTTTTGATTAGAAGTATGGAAATTTTCTCTCACATTAGCCCTCAAAATAAGGTTATAAAGATGCTGACCTGATCAAATAAATAGCTGAATAGTGCTATCTCATTCTCCCGATTGAACCAAGCAATCGTCATCAAATTTTGTCTACTAGTTAGCATAAACTTATAAATTATTGAGTAGAAATTTCAGATGAAGCTCTTGACTGGTTTTTAGGAAATCACAAATTGAAAAACCGCAAGAACTTATGGACAACTTATGGACAATTAGATTCAGCTAATCAGTCAACTTCCGTGAACTATGCAAATGAGATTTTCGATGAGGTTTTTGTTAACAGGAAATACCATAAAGAAGTGTCACCACTAGATGGCTTTTCAATTGGAAATGGACCAGGTAGCGATTTTTTTGGTTTGAAGGAGTTTTGGTTAGCATGTTAAAAAGTTTAATAAGGCAAAAGTTTAAAATAGAAAAGTCGCTGCTGCTTGGACTGCTAGAATTTTGTGTTTGAAAAATTTGGGTGGAGCGAAAAGACTTTTCTGGACAGCCGAATATTACAGATGGATCATCTCTCCAAGTGATCATCACAATTCAGCTTCTCTATGTCCTTGACTTGGTTCGGGATTCACAAATTAGCAAAACAACAAAACTTTGACAGGATGTCGCTCAACAATATCTTTCTGTATATGTTGAACAGGAAATCGAGTGGCAAGATGTCCGCTTAAGATGGGATCCCGCCGACTATGGAGGCTTAGATGTCGTTTGGGTACTCTGTGATCAAGTGTGGACAACCGATCTCTTTAACTCGAATAGGTAAATGAATTCAACTGAAGTTAATAGGTTTATTCCGAAGTTAATAGGTTTATTTAGTTAATAAGTAGTTAATAGATTTTTTTCTAGTTCGAATGATGTAAATTTAAACCATTATTAGCACTCATTCTCTTGTTCTGTTTAGTCTTACGGTCAACGAGATCTATCCGGATCGCCTTAAACAGTGCAAAGTTCACTCGAATGGCTCAATTCACTCGGATATGTTCCTACAAATCGATTCAGCATGTTTCCTTGATGTACGTAAAATGATAGAGCTTGATTTAAAGCGATTTTCAGGTTCAAAAATTTCCCTTCGATAAGCAAACATGTGAAATACCATTTGTGACCATCGCTTTTGAGCCAAAAACGTTCGATTTACAAGGAAAGCTCTTCACGAAATATATCGGTTTCACACCTCAGGTTGGGTTGTTACAGGGTTGGGAAAAATCATCCGGACAACTTTTCGGAAAAGTAGTTGTCACACACTTACCATAAATGCTGTATTAGAATGATACCTTCCAGAATGACACCCCCCTGACCCCTCGAAGTCCTAGAATCAAAACAAGTCCTAGAATGAACACTAGTCTCTCTAGCCGGCGCGCTTTCATTTTTGGTGATTTTCTACATAAAAATTTTTATCTAAAAAAGATTTTATTCAGTAAACTTTGTGCGAATTTTGTTTAAAAATGATTTCCAACAATATAACAGCTAATATAACGAAATACTCATGTGAACTAAATATCGAAAAATGACCAAATTTCACCTTTTTTTCCTGCGACTTCAAAGAAGCTAGTCACCAGCTCGATTTTGGTTATAGCAGGTTAGCCAAAACAGTTTAAAGTTATCTTTAATATTATTAATTGTGTTAAATATTAGTTTTGCGTCAAATAGATGTTGACAAAAACCTTTTCGAACAATTTTTTATGTAGAAAGTCGTCAAAAATGGCAGCGGGCCGGATAGAGATCGAATAGTGTTCATTCAAGGACTTCTTAAATGAGTTGCATGCATCCGATTGGGAAATTTTTAATAGATAAATGTAGCCAGGATTAAGGGCTACAATTCTCTATATAACACTTGACACTTTGAAATAAATTGCCTGCAAAAACATTTCCAAAAAGTTATCCAGATAATTTTGCCCAAGCCTGAATTTGTTCTATAATAGAAAAACTTTTAGGGAAATGGCGAGTGGAATGTGCTAAGTTTGAACATGACCAAGGATAGTCAACTGAAGAGTTCGAGTGATAATAAGGAATTCAGCATGGTAGGAAAATAGGAAGAATCGTGCGAAGATCTTTCTACAGGTTGTCTTCATCCTCAAACTGCAACGAGAACCGAGTTTCTACTTTTACGTCATCACTCTACCATGTTTCCTCTTAACTTTTCTGTCAATTATTGGATGTTTCTGGACACCGAATGTCAAAGAAGAGCAACTATCCAAAGTGATCAGCGTTTAGAAAAGAAGTAAAATCTTCAACAATCTTTAGTTGAGCATCGCTTTGACAAGTATGATGTCAATGACCACATTTATACAAATGGTTTCTGATCAACTACCAAAGACGAAAAGCTTTCCGTTACTGGGTGAGATTATACACAGCATATACTATGTGAATTAGACTGACAAAACACAAAACATTAGATGAGATTCTTTTCTTGAGTTAAATCTATTGCTTTTAGGTATATTTGTGCTAATTTGCGTCTTTTTGATCTCAGTCTCCTGTGTGATACTTGTAGCTTTCCCCGAGAGATCTAAACCAAAAGAAGTGCAAAAAGAAAAAGATCCAAGGTTTGAACATAGCTTGCTCCTGAGTTTAAAAACTGATTCAGAAAGCTTTTTCAAGCAAAAATCCGTCAATTCCTCCTTTCTCGACATTTTGGACTATTCATTTTCTTTCAAGCTATCAATTTAATCAATTTCATCGTTTTCATGTCGTTTTGGGATTGAATAAAGAATTGTTAAAACTGGAAAGCACAAATTTTCTATGTAAAGTCCGTAAATTCCTTTTTAAGAAGGTTTAAATTTAAGAAAAGGCTTTTTATAAACGTCGACGGAGATCACCGGGTTCAATCAAACAACAAACGCCCACCCACGGAAGGACACTTGAGAGGAGTTCATAAGCAAATATTCCAAACTGAAAAAAAATCGAACTCTCAAGTTTCCCAAAAAAGTTTGATGGGTAATTTTTGAGCTATGGCGAACACTTTTCAATGTTCTAATTTAATTGGCCTTTTCCTTTTTCATAGTTTATCAGTATAATGGATCTTTTGGAACATGCAGGCAAGCGATCTAGTTTAATATAAAGGTTTACTCAAGATCTTCAGCCAAGCAACCCTCGAATTCTTCAATTCTATCTAAATCAAGCGAATCAGATTTACAAGAAGATCTTCTCAAATAGAGATTATCACAAAGAAGTCTCCTCATTGAGTTCACATAGAAATGGATCGTAATCGTTCCTTCAAAGATTTGTATGGATAGACTGTGACTGTCTGACAAAGAATGGCTGTGCTCGTACTAACTCAAATAAATAAATTACTGGTTACAATCTGCTTTACAGTTTTACAACTCTATTTTTGATTAAAGTCAACTAATAGGAAGGCAAATCAGAAGCTGATGAAATCCATTCTCTGCCTCACTGCTCATCCTACTAATAAAAAACAAATGAATAAGTAAATCTAATCCAAATAAAGTCAAAGCTATTTTTTTCCGAAAATATACAGTATTGATTTTATTAGCAGCTTGCGACCTGAAAATTATGCTAAACACTCGGTTGGCAAGACTATCGGTTTTTAAGATTAAATTTGTTAGTGTTTGATAGTTTAAAAGTACAAAATTATTGAACATATTTGAAAGTGCGATGGTTTGTTATGTAAAACAAAATAATGTGTTACATTTATCGCTTAAAATATCATGTAGCCGGTTGTTTGAGTGCAGCGCGATTCCCTTGAGAAGGTATCCTGAATTCAAGATTTCGAAATAAGCGAAAATAGTCTTTTTCATGTGGAGATAGGTCAAGGCTTAGCGCAACGAGTGCAACAAAACCAGAAATCAGGCTAGAACCTGACTTACCTCTAAATTTAGAAAAACCTGCAAGCCAGGCAAGGTTAGGCCAGGTCAAGGTGCAAGCTTAGCTTTTGGCTTCTATTCTGTGGGAAATCAGGCCAGAAGGCTGTTCTCAGTCAGGTCAATCATCAGTTGTTTTTGAAATTCCTGAAGGTCACTCACACTTCCTTCTTTCTCGCATTTAGCGGCACCACTGTCCCATATACGTTTTCACGTCTCAATTGGGGATTTCTCTTTTTTCTATTCGGCTCATATCGATGTACATAGCTTCCAGGGCTTTTTGCCTCGTATGCACCGAGAGAATGCCAACCGGCTCTAAAAATCCAATGACCAAATTTTCAATCATATTCCGGTGATTGTAGGACTTTTTATACGTGCCCTACCACTTTGCCATTGACAATCCAACTTTGAGCTCAAATTTCTTGATGTTGGGCTGTCCAACTTAAATAGTTTTTGTACCAATCGACAGAGAAAGACTTGGCGCATCCAATGATATCAAGAATGTTTGAATTGAACAGTCCAAAGCTAAGATATTTGAGCTCAAAGTTAGATTGCTAATGGCAAAGGGGGCGGGGCGAGTATCAAATGTCCGATAACCTATTCCGATAGCACTTAGAGAAAACCCACTCAACCATGGTAAGCATGGGAACAAGTGCGATGAGCAAAAAGAAAATCTTCATTTCTCTGAAAAATGTTGATATTATTATGGAATGAAAGTGAAAACTATGTTAAAAATCAAGTATAAAGCATAAAACGTGTCAAAAACCAGTTTTGTATTCCAGATTTTCTTTGAGGGCTTTTTCCTAGCAAGTTGTCGAGAATAAAACGTGGAATTGCTGATGGGGATAATCATCTGGGAATTCCAATCACGATAATATTGATTAATTGGAAAATCAAACATTTTTTATGCGCTGTCGAGTGTTTTCATTGTTGCAAAAGAGAAAAAATTACGAAAATCGGATAACAAGAATCATTGTTAACAAAGAAAAATTGTCTTTTGCATTTTTCAACATCTCGTTTAAGACTTTTTAAAATGGATAGCAGTGTCACAAAATTTATTTATCAAGTCATTAAAAATTTATTATTGCTTTGGCAGGCTGTCTGCAGATGTAATGAGCTATCAATCTTGAGCATAACCAATGGACAGGGCTGCAGGTGGGAAATGGCCAGAAGTCGTTTGCACCTTGCGAACCGCTTTGTTTTCATTAGAGATGTCAATAGCTGACCGGATTTTCCTTTGTAGGCCGACATTCCAGCCTTTCTCAAGATCCTGTGAACGGAACGGAAATTTCAACCGTGCCACCAATTTTTCTTGTTGATCCTGCAAAGCGTTTAATCCTGCCCAAAATCTTTTTTCGATTTGCGCCGGTATTCACTGAGCATTTTCGGCCTCTTCCAAGGCGATCTTCAATGGATCCAGTTAAGTTGTGGCGCTTGATCTCATCAGAAATCGTCTGCATAGGCTCCTGCAAGTGACCCGAAATCTCCACTTTCCCTGATTATGAAGACGAATAATTGCTTTCCGAATCTTCTTTTTCGATGTCAAAGAATGAGGCAAAGAAAATTAAAAACACGAAAAAAAAGCGCTTTGAAACGTGACCGGATAATTTTGAGACACCGTGTACTATAGAAAAAACCGATTTTGTATTCGATGCGACTAAGAAAACAATAATTTTTTATCAGATACGTATGTACGTGGACTTTTGAATTGAATTTTTATCGATTTTCACCGGAAATTTCTCTCTAATTTCGTTTCACCAAGCAATGGCTGGAGAGGTCGAAAATTCGCGGCCGACACACCGTGGAGAGTGTCAATCTGAAGAGCGAAATATTCATCAAATGAAATACAATAATGGACAGATTTAATCTCCATCCCCTTCTTTTGCATTCTCGGTCAGACTATGAGCACTTCCCACTCCTCATAAAATTGGGCTTTTGAGCCCGAAAACATAGTTCCATAGAGCCAATTGCACCTAGTAAGACCCTATCGTCCTCAAAAATCTTTAAGGAAATTGAGAAATCATAGTAACCGACACACACAGACAGATAACTTTTTGAAATTGTGATAAGGTTGATAGAACAATGCATGTCAGTTATGCAATTGTCAAATAAGAGACAGACTCGATTTTTTGGAGATTTGGATGTTCCAAAAGTATAGAACCGTCAAAGAAAAAACCCCGTCTTGAAAATTTTTTTTTGGGAAATAACTTTTTTTGGTGAAAAACTGTCAAAAATCTGACGCGCCATCGTGTTCAGAATAAAATTAGGGAGAGGCACCAACTTAAGGTGGAGTTTAAGCCTATAGAATGATACCCTGGTAGAGTGATACCCTGATACGGGGATCCGAATCCGTTTTTCGCTTTTCCTTCGGACGTCTTAATCGCCAGATATACAAAAAACTATCGAAACGCACTTTTTCGGCACTTTTTTGGTCTGACTGAGCTCACTACAACGCCTGTAAAAAGCTTCAAAACTTTATGAATTCAAAAACAGCTTTTCCTCTTTTTCCGCCTTGAACTCAGCTTTCGAATGAGCCATAATACGTGTAGATTGGTTGAGTTTAAGAACCTCTCCCAAAAAAACAAACAGAACTTACCTTCGAGCCCGATATGTATGGAGTTATGCAAAACCCCCACCTGTTCCTTACTGATAGTGATCGAATTTCGCAACACAATCCATTGCACACACTTCTCATAGTTGCCCGTTGTCAAGCCGCCCTCGTACGCAAAATAATCGAGAGAATCTGAAAACGATGAGTTTCTAGTGAAGTCTAATGTATTTGTTAGATCAAAATATGAGAACGAAATGATTCACAACTATTCACAGAATTTCTTTTAGTTTTTCTGCTGCACTTTGTTATCTTTTAAACCAAGAAATCGAATCATAGTTGTTTTTTTTATATTCGAAAAGGAACTAACCTGGCAATAATTTGCGAAAATCGAAAAGCTTTTCGAGTCCATTTATGATGTTTGTTATTATTGTCGGTAGTTGAAAAGTCTCTCCACTACCATTAGCTTTTCCATCTTCTCCACTATCAGTGTCCCGTTTTATTCGATGAGCCACTAATAGCGTTGAGATTTTCTCGAATTCCACGTTGTTTTGTCCGATCTACAAGAGTTTTTTAATGTTTCTAGAGAGTTTTTCTTCTCCCAACCTGCACAAGAACGGCGATCACCGCGATTCCACCGGGTTGACCGATTGAGCCAGAAAAAGTCGAATATTTTTTCTTGTTGTAATGAACAAAGTGGAGCTGGAAAAATGAATCTACATAAGACGTAGATAAATAAATACCGTAATACCTGTAATAGTAGCGCTGGCGCTACTATTTTTTCCCTCCCCCTGGGGGCCACTACTATTAGAGGGGGTGCTACTAATCTTTCTTCCTAAAAGATTTTAAACAACCCAATCTGGAAGTTTTCAAGATAATTTACCAGAATTTTTTTAGCTTTGAATTTTATTTATTCATCTTTAATAAACATAACAGTAAAATTAAGATAAATAACATAAAATTAAAACCAACAAACATAACCGTAAAATCAAAGATAAAAACATCTCAATTATCAAAGCAAATCGATACATCTGAATCAACAAATTCGTCATTTTCTTCTTGTTGATCATTAACTTCTCAGTAATCCCAAATTCCTGTTGATTGAAGCGGTACCAGAAGACCATTAATTTCCTTATCCATTCGAGCGTCTTTTAGCAGCTTTAGCCCATTTGGAATAGCGCCGTCGGCTTTGAAGCACTGAATCATATTGTCCTCATCACCGTTTGCTGCAATTCCGATGCCGCATCCTTTGAAAGACTTTTGAATCATCTCCTTAGAAAGCTTATCCCAGGCTTGGACGATTCGATGTCAAATACGTGTCCATTGAAGGTGGCTTTGGGTTTCCGCCACCAGATCCATCCTTTCGTGATCTTGTCAAGTTAAAATCCAATCCTCGTACTGCTGCCGAATGTGCGCCTTAAAAGGTGCATTCCATGCTACGTCCATGCTAGGTTGTTGTTTGTTGCTCCCCCAGGCACGTAGATGCAGTTTAATTTCAATTTGTCAAGACACTCTTTGGTACACTCACTTTTGTGCGCTAGTGTTGATCCCAAATAAGGAGTGAGCGCTCTTGTTTGTCGACACAGATAAGTCCGCCAAATGATCGCTGTAGATACTCGGTCGTGATGTCATTGTCAAAGCACTTGTTCTTTTTTTTCTTTCCAACACAAAAGCAGCTTTTCTTGAAATTTTCTTTTTTCTTTCGCGGCACAACCACAAATGGACGCAGTTTCACCATCCGATCGTGCAGTCAGCATCACAAAAGTGTTCCTTTTGTCGTAGCTTCTGGTTAGCACACCTACTTCCCGCACACCAATCGAATCAACGCTTGTTGAAGAATCGAGCTTAGCAGCCGTTTCGTCACATGCAAATATGTGCTTGAAAGTGCTCTCTTCGACTTTCCTGTTCACTTTGAGGAAATGGTTGACAATTTTAACACGAATTTATGACAAGAATTTTAACAAACAATTTTCACAGCCCCTACTCGGACTGCGGAAATTGGGGTTTTACGGCAAGCCAAAAAACAAAAAGCTAAATATCTTGAGATTTAGACATTAAGATATTCAGCTAAGGGGCGCTACTATTACAGGTATTACGGTAGAACAACTTGTTTGTTAAATTTTCTCTTCTCGCCCTAGCTTCAAAAGTTCGCAATAGAAATTTCTGCAGAAATGAATTTTTTGTGTTTTATAAAGACTCAAATAGGGGCTGAGAAATCGGCTGCACAGACACACACAGAGACAGATTTGCCTCTTATAAAGAAGGAAGGACCAGTCCCTCGAACATTGCTTAAATATTTCAATCAGTTTTTCAAAAAAGAACCTATATTTACTCCTTTCTAGAGCACACACCTCCATCGGGTATTGTATCCCATCGATGACGTGTTCACTTCCGTTTTGGTCTGGCGATCCCCAATGGGCGTGCATCTGGGCCAAATGGAAAGGTGTTCTCTTGTAGAATAAAACTAAATGAGAGGAAAATGATATGAATAGTCACTCGGAAATTCACAATTAAAGTCATCATTTGTTGGATAGACATTGAAACCCCCGTGGCCATTAGCCGCAATCTAAAATCGATTTTTTAATACATCGAGGAGTTATCGCAAGTCGACCCTACCAACAAGCGATCTCGTTTGTCACAGAATTTTTTTGCATTTATAAATTGCTTCAAATTTTCTACCTATGCAGTATTTCTAAATGTTCTCTAACCAAATTATCCTACTTGCACATTTGGGCCAATATTTCGGTGATAGTGTAGAGATAGTCTTCCCAGGTGTTTAAAACTGCTGTTCTGGTGAGAGATTTCGATCGGCGATTCTTGAGCTGAGCCTAAAAATGGTTTACGGTGAAGTTTCAAGTCACTTGAGTTGCTCTGAAATAAGATGAAAGTTTCCTTAACATAAGGGTGTCCCAAAAGTTCAAAGAATTTTCCGAAGGCTTGCTAGGCAACATTGCGCAATGGCTAAAATTCTTTTGCATTAGCTTTTTTCAGGATGAAGTTACAATTGGATTTGAGACCAGCCATGGTTCGACGCTCACACGATGGCAAATCGGTTCGTGGCTTTTGAACGTGATTTTTAGTGATTGATTTTGAATGATTTTTAAGGTATCTATAAAAATTTCTTGAAAATTAACAAAAGATCAATGATCGAATTTCTGTTTCATAATTTTGGAATAATCTGTAAATTTAAATATTCGTTACTCGGTGAAAAAAAAAGTTGAATCGGTGTTTAATTTCCTTTCGTCATTGGCGTGGAATACCTATCAAACACGGTTGGATTTGCGACCAGAACCGATTCCAGAACTAGACTAGAACCGAATTAGACAAACAAATCTCTTCTAAAAAGCCTGTAGGGGAGATTCCTACCTAAAAACCTATATCGAATGACTAAAAATATTAAAAAAACATATTTACAACAGGCCATCAGGAAAGTCTCCGAACTTTTGGGACTTTTACACTATATAGCTCTTACATGTTCCGGATGATTCGAGCCCTTCAAATAAAAAACTTTCCACGAAGGCAAAGAACGGAAAAACGAGCAAATATCGTAATCGAGGCATTATTATCAAAAACTCTATAAAATAGTTAAAACTCGATCTCGAAAACCGACCCTTTTATATTCATGTGGACAACGGAAATTTTGTGGTTGCCTCATTCAGCTTTCCCTCTTTTCCAAATCTCTTTTTTTTTGCTCTACCCGTTTTTCGTATTTTCGATCTCTGTTTAATTGAAAAGCACTGTAGCGAAAGTTCAGTTCTGACCGAAAAAAGATCGGTCACAAATTATTAAAAAAAGTAAATCGACTAATCGGCTCCAGCTACTTTTCCAAGTGCACTTTTTGAGTTTTTAGTGGTTAAACAAAATTAGTCAAAAAATTTTTTGTAAAGATTTTTGATATCTTGTCAAACAGCTTTCAAGAAAAGCTATATGAAAGGGCAACCCAAATTTGAGCAATGTTAAAAACTTTTTTCAATATGCTATTGTTCCCAATTAGAACGATCTTGCTAATTGTAAGAATCTAGTAACTTTTAATGATCCCAGTATCAAATTTTCAATCCCGAGGAGTTCCACATAATTGAGTCGTTCACTGTTTTTAGCCATGATTTGTTCGATTTCCCGTGCCTAGCTAGACACATCAAAATCTACTGTTTTCTAACGCACAAAAAAACTCGGTCACAAACGAGCATAAACGGCTGAATAGTACCGGGTTCAACAAGTGAATGATTCACAGCACAATCGAATCACAGCACATTGGGGAATTTTCTGACCGAGTTACTATCGGATTACTATCAAAAACTTGTCGCTTGTTGGGCACATTATGAATAAGTAAATAACATCAACATCATGATAAAAAGAGTGTCTTTTTTTACCCATGCTATTTTTTCTTTTTTTTTGCGTTTAATACAGAGTTGTCGAGGATTACGGGGACTAGGGGTATTTTGATATTGCATATTTTTGCTTGCAATTTATATATTGTTTTTGTCTTTCTTTTTGTTTATTTTATTTATTTAACTATTTACTTACTAATTTTTCTCATGGATATCGCTAAGCCATTGATGATACGCAAACAACTTGTTTACAACGAGATCAAACGCTTTCAAGAGTTAGGAACCAATTCTGATCGTCCCGGACGTGGTGGTAAAGCGATTGTTTTCACCAAGGCTTGTATCAAGAAGGTTCGAAATCAGCTACGCTCGAAAGCCACTCGTTCACAGGCCAGGATTGCAAAGGATATGGGAATTTCTCGAACTTTCATGGGCCGTATTGTCAAAAATCGTCTTGGAATGAAAGCTTATAAGTTTTCCAAAAGGCAATTTTTGACATCAACCACTAAAAAGAAACGCGAGGATGGTTCGAAACAAATTTTGAAGCCACCAGAATACTCGCTTATTGTTAAGTTTCAAAGAAATAAGCCTATTTTGATTGAACTGGGGATCCCTGTCTTCCTTGCTCTCCACCCCCGCCGTCCTCGCCCCGTACGGGCCGGTTCTCTCCTCCCCCTTCGACTGTTGCTGTTATGCAGTTGATAGTAGAAGGTAGAATATTGATACGTCTATAGTTTATTGATGACAGCAATCAAGAAGGCATTTTCTAAAATCTTATAAACACTCTAATTCAAGAATCAAAGAGAATGGAAGTGAATGAATGACACCAAAAGACAAAATACAATGTCGCGCCAAAAAATCTTAGGAAATGTTAAGACACAAAGAACAAAGAAATAATCATTTCCCAACAATGACAGAGACTAAAAATTACATGTATTTACATATTGACTGTGGGTAAATACTGAGAATATACAACCGATAACAAATGAAAAATCAAAGATTCTCTCGAGAAAAAATGAAAATTTTCTTTTTGAATTTTCTGATCAATCAGCCAATTGGTCCGATCTGTTTAGGGCATTTTTGGAGACACTGACCATGCACACTACGACAGTATCCAGGCCTGCATTGACAAACACCTCGCGATATGGGCAAGATCGGGCAAATCCTCGGACATTGCTGAAATTGAATGATTAAAATGAGAACAATTTCAAAATTTAAAAGGGACTGTAGTAATATCGGGCAAAATTTATAAGAAATCTCGGTGACTATTTATCGTACCAAGTCTAGTACCAAAAATTCGAGACAAACTTTCATACCCAATATTAGCACAAACCTTTACGGGTTGTCCACAGATTTGTTCGCACACGACTCCACATAAATTGCAAATCTCATTGGGTCCACATATCACTCCACCACAACACTTGGAGATTGGAGGGATGGTTCGAAGAGTGAATGGCGGCAGGGTGAATGGTGGAAGAGTAAATGGTGGGAGAGTGAAAGGGGGGATCGGCCCGATATCGGGTTGCAGCGGATCTTCTGAACAAATAAGTAGTATTTTAGGTACCGCATTCCTCCCCTTGAATAGATGACGCCCATCTCTAGTTGAGTTATCGCAAATTTGGACCTAGATATTGATCTAGAGGAAAAATCTGAAAGTAAAACCATTTCTCCACCCAAGCCATATTTAGGGTCGAACTACAAAAATTCATTTGGAGGACCCTGAAAATTTTTTTCGAAAAATGCTTTACACTTTAGATTTTTTCCGTTGGCAATTTATTTTATTGCCATGACCTAAGTATCATCTTTTATGCCTAATCCATCCATTTAACCACTTCAGAGCTATCTAGGTCAGGCTTCGAGGTAGCTGGGGATGAGGAGAGCCGTCTATACAAAGGGCTCGTCGTCTAATCTAATCAAAAATTCTTCAGCTCATCAACTTACCATCTGCCGCCATGAAGTTGATGCTCACGATAAGAATCAGAAGATTTAAATACGAAATGTGCTTCATTTTACGAAAACTTTGAAAAGTGCTGTTCATTGTTTGCTTTACCTTTTATAGTGACCCTATTTACACTGGTTGCTCCGAAAATCCCTTTTTACACTTGGAATTTATGCGAAATTTTGCTTTTCTTGACGGATTTACAATTCTTCTGATGTTTTGATCACGTGATACAGCTGGATTATCGAGAAATGAATGACCTCTAACCTTGCTGCAGCACTTTGTTGCAATATCAAACGCTGCTAGATTCATTTGCCTAATCCTATTTATGTTATGAATTTATTTCTAGAGTTCCAGTGATCGGTTGCACACCATTTGAAGAAAATTGCTCCACATTTCGAAATCGTAGTTTTTCTTCTTTTTGTTTTGGAGCAGCTCCGATCTAATACTCGAATGACTAAAGGCGTTAAACGATAACGCGAACTGTCACTAGTCTTTCTAATCTGTTGTTATACGTTTGGTACAAAACCTAAAAGAATTGAAATAAAAACTTTAGAGTCGGATCTCGATCATTTGACTTTTTTTGCTTTTTGCTGAGCATTTGACTTTTGCAAGAACAATATTGATTGTAAAGTTAGATTTCCCTGTCTTTTAGACTGAACCGAGGGAGACTTTGAAGTGCAGCAGACTATCCACTGAACCACTGAAGCAGTTGTCAGGGGAGCGCGTGGCGGCCGCATAAGTGGCTTTAGACTCAAGGTCATTTTCTATGACAAAACTCGAGGCTGACTTTAGGTCTTCCCCTTGTAAGTGTCAAATCGTATGTATTAGAACATTTTATTTGACGGAAACAAGAACATTTATTTAACTTATGCCAAAACATGGCAGACCGCCGTGACCATTTCGGTTATGGTGAAGAAATTGAGCCGGGATAACCGCGAGTACTTTGAAATGGGCACGAGTACTTTAGGTACGTTCTGAAATGAATTTGCGCAGATGTTCGTGGTTTTCTGAAAATTCTTCAAACAGACATATAACTAAAGCAATTAGACAAATCGAGCTGAGAATTCGGAAATTTTGTGGTTGCCTCATTCAGCTTTCCCTCTTTTTCAAATCTCTTTTTTTTGCTCTACCCGTTTTTCGTATTTTCGATCTCTGTTTA